TTTCGTCCCCCGTGACAGTCAGTTAAAAATAACTATCGTCGTTCTTCCAAAGCGTTTTCTTGACAAATTTGAGTTTCTGCTCTGGCGTTACCGCGAATTATACCTAACAGGGGGTTCAGCTAGCACTGCTTTAGCTCAAACCGGCGTCATAAACGACCAGCTAGCTCAGGGATGGTAAAACACAAAGACTTTCACTTCGGTTGATTCGCCCTGGGCGTGTACTTCGTTGCAGTGTACTAGGGTTGAGCTTCACTCCGTTTCTAACTTAACTCCCCCTGTATAAAACTGAGGAGATATGAGGGAAGTAATAATAAAATTGGCTAAGGAAATGCTGGTTTATTTTTCCTTAACAACCAACGAACCTTGCTTAAATAAACTGAAATTAAATTTCTCCAAAATAATACATACGTCGAGACATACGTTAAACTTCAAACTTCCCCCAAATTATGAATCCCTTAATCCAATAATGATCGCATAAATTGATTGCCGAATCTCACAACGATTCCCAACAAGTAAAATGAAATTCCGAGCAAAAATTCTCACCGATAATCCCAAATGCACTAACAATATATAGTCCAGGTTAAATAGCTCTAAAATAATTTATTTTCAAAAAAAATTAGTTACCTGGCGAAACCGGGTTTTTCAGGTAGATAAAATGAATAGAAATTGGGAAAAAATAATTAAAAGAGCGAAATTTCTCCGCGGGTAAAATCCCGGGGGTTGAAAGGGGTGGAAAGTGGTGTTTTGCAAATTGTGGCAAAACTATTAATTTTAGACGAAAATGTTTAATGTAAAAGTTGTAGAGATGAAAAAAATGAGCAACTTTTGTATCTACACTATTTTCACATAACCTCCAATTTTTCTAGAAAAACCGGAAAAACTGTTTTTTTCGTTGTTTATTCTTATTTTTGCGAAAAAAAGTCGTAGGCGTATGAAATTTGGAGGAAACAGCTTGTTTTATGATAAAAAAGAAGAAACTTTTTTGGGCCTATAAAGTTGAACCGTTTCCAAGATCTCACGATTTCTGAAAAAAACCACCTCTTTTTCAAGGGGATGAAAAATTTATTTTTTTTCATCGTAAAGAGGTGCGCGGAGTAGCAAAATTTTCGGGAAGACTTACATTTTAATAATCAAAAATAAAAAATATTATTCCAATAGAAAAATTTTAAGAAAAGCAGCAAAAACTGGGGGAACAGTTTTAAGATATACCGTTTTTGACAGTAGGTAAATAGCTTTTGTTGCAACTTAACGTATTGGATCCGCGCCAATAAAAAGTTTTTGAAGTCTGTCTTCTCTCTCCTCTTTAATGCTGCTAAAATATTTTCTTTTGTTTCCCAGTTCTCAACTGCCTTAATTAAAAGATCTTTATTATTTCTTTTTTCTGCATTTTTACTGCAATAAAAGCAATTCGAAGTAAAATCGAATTCTTTTGCTTCCTGAACAATTTGTTTTTGTTCACTAACTCTTCTTCCTGCCTGTTTTACAGCTGATGGGATTAAGCTGGGCCTGTTGATCGTTAATTTACAGGAATGATGAATAAAATCCTCATAAAGTTTATTCCAGGTTTTACATCTCAAATCATTTGCTTTGGCCGGTAAAACTAACGTTCTTATTGCAGATTTTGCAAGTTTATCAACAGGCCCAACACAATTGCATCAGCTATAAAACAGGCAGGAAGAAGAGTCAGTGAACAAAAAGAAATTGTTCAGGAATCATCAGGAAGCAAGATAATCCGATTTTATTTCGAATTGCTTTTATTGTGGTAAAAATGCAGAAAAAAGAAATAATAAAGATGTTTTAACTAAACCAGTTGAGCATAAGATAACAAAAGAGATAATTTAAGCAAACATTAAAGAGAAGCAAGAAGACAGATTTCGAAAAAATCTTTATTAACATCCAACATGTTGATTTATCATGACAAAAACCATGTATATCTTAAAACTGTTTTTTCAGTTTATGGCGATTTTCTCGAATTTTTGCTATGGGAATATTTTTTTATTTTTGTTTATTAAAATATGTCTTCCCGAAAATTTTGCTACCCCGCGCACCTCTTTACGATGAAAAAAAATAAGTTTTTCATCCCCTTGAAAAAGAGGTGGTTTTTTTCAGAAATCGTGAGATCTTGGAAACGGTTCAACTTTACGGGCTCAAACAATTATCTTCTTTTTTATCATAAAACAAGCTGTTTCTTCCAAATTTCAAACCCCTACGACTTTTTTTCGGAAAAATAAGAATACGAAAAAAACAGTTTTTCCGGTTTTTCTAGGAAAATTGGAGGATATGTGAAAATAAATTATATACTATCAATGTATTTATAAACGAAATACAATGATACTATACAGTATAGATACAAAAGTTGCTCATTTTTTAAATCTCTATAACTTTTACATTTTACATTTTCGTCTAAAATTAATAGTTTTGCCACAATTTGCAAAACACCACTTTCCCCCTTTTCAACCCCCGTGATTTCACCCGCGAAAAAATTCAGCTGTTTTAATTATTTTTTCCCAATTTCTATTCATTTGGCCATTTTGCCTGCCTGAAAAACCCGGTTTTGCCCGGTAAGTAATTTTTTTTGTAAAAAAATATATAGCCTGGACTAATAAGAACAAGTCTTACCTTCAGGACGCTGACGCCGGAAGTGAGCCCAATTCCAACGTTCTGCACGGGAAAGCTAATACATATAAATCATCCTTGTCCGGCACGTTCTTTTGTAAAACGAATAAACGCCACTTGAGTGAATCTACCTCTACCCATTTCTCTCATCACGGTGCTCTTGCAACCATTGTGTACGGGTGATGCCACTCCAGTTAGGAATATGTATTATAAATGTGTTACCCAAGAAATCCAATCTGTTTTTTGTGTATATCTAGTGGTGGCAACATTCAAATGAGCTTGAGTTGTGATACATTTTTTAAGGTTATTTGGAAATAGCACCACAGTTTTACTATCTACTGTCCAAGTATTTTTGAAACATAAATGTAGCTTTAGCAGCCTTCAGTATCGCATATCTACAGGCACTTACGGATTCTGATGATTAACATAGAAGACCCTTTGGGCAGGTTTTTCCCGCTCCAAACACTCGCGCGATCCTTATAAGAAAGAAATTGAACAATCATTGTCCTGGGGCGTTTTTTGTCAGCTTGACTCAAACAGTGACATTTTTCAATTAGATGATGCAAAATGTAGATGTTTAAAACATACATTTGATGAAAGCTACGGAAACGATTTCTTTCATCTACCCCATGGAAAAGGAGGCTATACCAAAGAGAGTAATTTTCCAGGTGGTCCATTCGGTAATCTATTGAATGCAGATGTGTTTGCATATGGACAATCAGTTTCAAGAGGTCCTACTTAAATGGCTCAAAATGCATTTACCCTATGCTCTAACTTCGAATTCGGACATTCTTGACGTAAACCAATCACAAATCATTTTCATTTCAGAAGCACTCATTTTCGTTTCGCAGCATTTTTCTCTTGAAAGAACATTACCTGATCACGATCAAGTTGACCATTAAGTATTGATAATATAATAATTAGCTTCAAATTTGTACAAGCAGCTCCATTGCGACTTCACAAGACAATCGCCATAATTTCAGTTCATAAAATGAAACCATCACCCACGGTGCCAAAGGAAACGAGGCTTATGATAACCAAGCAATTATAATCCTAGTTGAACGCGAAACGTCATTATTATTATAGAATACTAGCAGACCCCGCGAAGTTTGTACCGCCTTTGGGAAATTTCGTATTCTAGGATGGGAGATATTCTCGGTTTGCGGAGGCCGCATCGCCCCATTCAACCCAATATCCCACACCCGGATGGGGCAGAAACTCAGTCCCGCTCCCTGATGAACCATAAACTCGGTTTAGGCGGTTGCGCCGCCTCACCTCGCCCAATATTTATTATAAGCTTTATGAAATGTGCGTTACGACCTATTCTCATACCTCGCTCCAGGATGGGACATAACCTTGAGGCACCTCGTCCACTGTTATTATTAGCCGTATGAAATATACTTTGCGACCTATTCTCATATGTACCAAATATACAAAAAATTCATAAAAATCGGTCTAGCGGTTTCGGAGGTTGTGACCACAAAAACCGTGACTCAAGATTTTTATATATTGGGTTGGTTAAACATTTTTACGAAAATGTATTTGTCTAATTTGTTTATATAAGCCATAGTAGCCAATTTAACTGCTTCTGGCTCAATCTTATCTCATTCAGCACAATTATCTGAATTAATTCATTTTTTCAGTACGGTGCAGCTATTATTATGATTAATTTGTGACCATTAAGTTTACTTTCTAATGTTTAAAAACTCTAACAAAAAACCATTTTATCATAATAAGGCGGTTAAAAATTAAATTTACCGCAATGGTGCATAACGCATTATTAAAACTTTCGCTTTTATTTTGATCTGTTGTCGTCTGCAGTAATAGAAACAGTTCCAGAATTGATTGCGTTTATATAATAAGTAATCGCAGCTATAATACTCTATTGTTGGGGTACTCACCTATTGGTGAGAATTGCTTACAAAAGTAGTTCCTTTTTACAATATAGAAAGCCACTATATTACACCACAAATTCGGTTTGGGAAAAATATTTAGTAATATTATACAATTAATGTTTTGTTCCCATGTGTGAATGCCGTGATCTGTATTCCATATGGTGTAACAATAATTAGCGATTATTGTTACAGATCTCAGGTAAAGATGAAAAAGACCTATAAACAAAAACCGCTACAGTGTTGGGTTAATTATATGCAAATGTTCACTGATATAACCAATACGCTTTATAGCATTCGATTATTAAAATAAATTCTTGTTTCGTAACTGTTAATCTTAAGGTGTGTAGCCGCATGAACATACATGTGTGCCTTGCAGTTAGAAATTCCGACATATTTACTACCTACTACTTACATACCAATACATACCTAATTAAACTTTTATGTGTACATACCTATTTAATAGTTACTAAACTTACGATATTGTTTCAGGGAATGTTGATACGGTTACAGGCGACCCTTGCGGTCGCCATTCTTGGCTTCATTAAGGTTACCTTAGCTCAGGTAAGTAATTTAAACTGTAATTATGCAATAAGTTAGATGAAAGATTAACATGTGTTCAATTTCTTAATTGCTCGTATTTAAAAAATTGCACTTCGCGTTATTAGCGCAGCAGTTAGAGCAAGTAAACCATCACCATAGCGGAATAGGTTACGGTGAAGAATCTTTTATGTTATGATTCCAAACAGCTTCCATGTTATCTCACATTATTTCTAAGTGAACATTTTACCATGCACACGAAGGTGGTAATCTTTTTAGAGAGTGTAATGCAATTCTCTCCTTCTTTAACCTTGGGAATGAGAAGTATCCCTTACCTTCCGAAGAAAATGTATACCTTTGTATAATTTAACACTTTCTTTTTCTTTTTCTTCTTTACAAAAAGGTCAGTAATGAGTTACCATTACGTGCCTAATCACAAACGTACATGAAGTTCTGTAAACTTCCCAGTAGCTGTACTACTGGGTTAATAATAATATTGTTTACAAAACAACAAAAATTTAGAAACGGAACAATTCAAAATTCTTCTGTACCCGAGTGTTTTGATACGCGGGTAAATTGTCACATTGTTTGATTCTTAACCTCCTCTGCTAGTGTCTTATTTGAGCACCTCCAAAATATATATAAATATTAATATATTTTGTATTTTTTTTCAAGTTGTTTACACGAGGTAACACTTTCCATTCAAAATTGAATGTAAAGTTTGTAATTTGTTGTAATTGTAAGACGGGTGCACAACGTTGTAAACCTCAAATGTTGCCTTATTAATTATTGTTGAATATGAGCTCAAAAATTATTAAAAATGTTTTATTGCCATTCTCAATTTAGCACACAAAGTGGCGCTCTGGGCATAACTCGGGGCGTGTACCAACCCGCTCATACAAATAGTGAAGAAATGGCCTATTAAATTCGATTATTTATGCAATCTCATTTAGTTTGAATGAACATGAACCCTACGCGTCCGCTATAAATGTGCGCTGGGGTAAACTTAAAATTTAATGGTCTCCAAAATGCCACCAGTGTTTCAAAGTCTCTTTGCATATAGGTACAGATAGTGGTGATAAGTAATCTATTTTGAAATAAATATTAAATAACAATGATGCAGACGTAGTCCCCCGAGGCTCAACCGCAACACACTTTCAGTCAACGCTTCAAACTCCACGATCCCCGTCCGAAAGTGCTGGTCCTCGGTCTCCGGAAAAGGTATTCACCCGCCTCCAGTCAGTCCATAAACTTTTACTGTTGGGAACAGTTGGAAGTCTGGCGGGACCAAATGAGGCGAATAGAAAAGGGGAAGGGGGTCACTTGGAACTTGGATAAAACAAGATTTTCTTATTCCATACAGGGTGGTGACTTGCGTCGCGCATCATAAGGATTTCAATGTAAAATTCATAACATGCCATTATTGGCTCCCCAAATTATTTTAGAGCAAAAATGTATTAAGGATTTTTATAGACAAAAATTTTTTACGTCAATCAACCGCGTTAGTTTCCAATTTTTTACATAATGAAGACAGAATATTGGAAAAATAAAACCTGCATCTTTTTCAATAATCTGTGATGCCATGGAATTTTATAATACAAAAACTACAATATCCGTCATGCCATGGAATGTCTGCTATAAAACAAATCAAATTCTATCAAAAAGTATTATATTTAGAACAGCGAATTCAACATAAAGAAAGACCAAATTACTAAAAACGGTTTCCTAATACAACAATTGACAGTAAATGTTCGAATAAGGCACCATTAACTGCAAGACAGTAACCAAGTCGATCATAAAATCCAGCTGCTAAGTGACAACTTGACATCTTTTTATTTTAGAAAATTCCATGGCATCGCAGATTATTCAAAAAGATGCGGGTTTTATTTTCTCAAATTTCCGTCTTTACTATGTAAAAAATTGAAAACTAATACGGTTTATTGACGTAAAATAGTATATTTCATTAGGAGTCCGGAAAGCAGGCTTTTTCCGTGCGCGCGTGGCAAATTCCCGTGTGAGGCGTAGCCGAACACGGGAAGTCATGCAAGCACGGAAAAAGCATTTCTGGACGTGTAATGAACGATATTTTTTATTATACTTCTTTTAAATCGATAACATAAAAAACAACAAACTCGCTAACATTTTTATTTTGTAACAGTTATAGAAAATGCGTTTTCATGGTTACTCTCAAATCATTTCAAAGGCGATTTGTTTAATTAGTTTATTTCAGATAAGGTTGACGAAACGTCAAAAAATGTCACAAATTCTCAAAGAAGTTTATCTAAATATTCAAACATCTACGAATTAAAACACAAAATACTTACATATGAAACATTACAACGCATATAGAGTTTCTGAAAATTAGTTTCCTTCCCTGTAAATTTGTATTTTAAAGCAATATTTTGGGTATTTATATTCAGCGCACGGAAAGAATCAAAGGGACCGGGAAAAGTTTTTCCGTGCGCTAGCCTGGAAAAGGACAGATACCATTATTTCTAATACAGGTGTAAATAAGGTGATTTCAATGAAGTATAATAAAAAAATTTTTTCTACAAAAAACCTTCATACATTTTTGCTTTAAAATAATTTGGGGAGCCAATAATCGCATGTTATGAATTTTACATTGAAATCCCTATGATGCGTGACGCAAGTCACCACCCTGTATAGGCAGTTGAGTAGCAGACCGCCTTTTTCCTCCCAGAAAACTGCCATCAGCTTCCCGGCGGACACAACCGTCTTCGCCTTATTCGCAACCGGTTTGCTTACCTTAGCCCATTGCTTTGACTGCTGCTTTGGTTTAGAAGTGTAGTAGTGAAACCAAATAAGATAATACCAAAAGCCGGGATCAGCAATTGTAGCGCACCCATCGCACGCAAAGCTTTTACTTCTGCAATTTATACTGGAATGGTGGATTCTGGAATATCAGCGTAAATCGATGCTTCGGGACGCGGCGCGTTGGTAATTTTCATTCTGCCCATTTTAAACTCGTTCAACTGTTTCGTAGGAAGAGGTTGATTGGCAAAAAAAAGCGGATATCCTTTCGCAAATGTCCTTCAATGCAAAAAAATGTGTGTACAAACGAAATTATTAAGAATACCTCTATATTAGATTAATAAAATTCATAGTATATGTATATACTTAATATGTACCTAGTTTAATTATTAAAATATTAAAAGTTCCACATTATGCCGACAGAAAAGTGACACTAGTGAAAAACACACCCTAACAAGTTTTAAACATACGTATCGGTATGTGGCAGCAGATGTTACATAACACATAAACGGTACCACGTATATCTGTGACGGTACTTTAAGTGATCAAAGTGGGCACAGGAAATAGACCGTATCCTATTAACTAGCAACCACTTGTTTTCCTAAGAATAAAACTGTGAAACAGTTTCCTGACACTACCTTTAAAAAAAGTTGTTAGGCGCGTTTTATCGCCGATTAGAATAATGGAATACATTTTTGGTGCTACCTAGCGAATCCCTAGCGAACTTCGTCGACATCGGCGTGTACACCTTAATTGTTACAACCTGTATATACATGGTCTTTTACGACGAACGTCAGTTATGCGTTTTTGAGAAACCATTCAAGATAATTTTTTTAAGATTTTCCGATCGAACGAAAGTTTCCGCTTAGATCGAAAGTGTAACACATTAGATATCTAAAATACAACTTGGAAGTTTACACTGTTTTATTAGAAAACCTTCATTCATCATTTCTGTAGGTATCTGATCTGATGTTGGAATATTTAGGGTAGAGGCAACGCTTAGCAATGACCCAATTACAAAAACAACGATTTTTTTTAACACTTCCCCTCGAGTCGATTGTTACCAAGTCATGACAAATCGATACAGCAAACATTTAGTCCAAAAATCTGCAGCTTGCTCCACGGTAGGAACATAGACTAATCTTAGCTCCTCTCGCAGAAAGTGAGGGCGAATATCAATGTGATCCTTACTTATGGAATAATGATAGGTTTGATTCCCTGCTACAGCCAAGAACCATAATTATCACCGTGGCTAATCAAATCGTATGTTGAATCCTAGTTGGGCAAGGAATTTCTCAAAATTATAGCATCTTTGACACCTTCAGATAAGGCCATATATTTAGCTTCAATCGTTGACAGGGCAACGGTTCATTGCTTCCGAGAATCCCAGGCCACCGACCCACCGTGTCAGCATGAATAAGTAACCAGTGTAGGATTTTCTATCCTTAGAACAATTCCCCATCATCATCAGGCCTCATGTTAATCCCATGTTAATAAAACCTTTCAGGTACCGTAGGACCCGCTTGGTAGTCTTGCAATGATCGGCACCAAAATTGCTTGAAGCTTGAAGCCTGGATACCTTCGATTGTTCGAACTCTATCCCGAGGCAATATTTGAGGTGCTCTAAATCCTTAATTTTAAAATTGCTAGCCAGTCCATTAATAAGTTCAGTTACCTTCTTTCCGTTTCGTGACGCTAGAATACCATGGTATTGTGCCATTCATTCTCGTCAGGCCCGCTCAAAACTTCTTTCATGGAAATTTCCGAATGATGCACTAGTGGGAAGATGATTTCTCAGATAATTTACGGTGTTCACTGCCTCTGCCCAAAAAGAGTAAAGTACATAGAATTCCCTAAGAACGCACCTAGCGAAATTATCAAGGTTCGATTATTTCGCTCCGCCGCACCGGATCATTCAGTTCTGTCAATCTTCTGACAATTCCTCGTTTGTTCAGACAATCGCTGAACTCGTTGCTGGTATACTCGCTGCCATTTATCGGATTGCAAACATTTTACAGTTGGCTGTCTCTTGCTTTCGACTTCAAGAATTTTACCTTAAACCAATACGAACAATCGTCGATGAACTCGATAAAATATTTTGCCCCTGCAAAGCTGCCGTCTTCATTGGACCGCAGTACACTAACTCCAAGATCTTCGTCAGAAGCTCTGATTTGTCGCGGAAGGGCGTTCATCATCTTCCTCTGGACAGGTGTCACAGTTCCATTTTTCAATGTCATCTATCAGTTTAGCTT